CATTTTGCGTGGGGGTAGGGGGGCTTCCCGGGGGGGGGGGGGGAAATAGGTGGGCCCCCGAATGCCTCACGATCGACCAGTCGATCACAATCGACCGGTTGGTGACCACGGTCATGGGGGGTCTGCTGGTAGTACCTTTGCACCCACCAGTTTTTTCAGCGAGTGATCCCACCCCTAAGCACCCAGAGTTGGCACCTATGACACCATCAGCACCACCAATGAGCTACACTTTTAAATCTACTGACAAGAAGTCCTTCAGCTGAGGCTGTTCTTTGTTGGTCATCAGTTTTCTACCAAGAAAATTCTAATTTATGCATTGGACCTGTGTGTGTGTCAAACGACAGATGTTCCAGAGTTTAATAGACTCTTACGGGCCAAATCTAAACTGAAATTCTAAACTAAAATGGAATTACTTCAAGCAAAGCCTGTTCCCTCAAAGTTATTTACTTGCATTATCACTTAGACAATCCCAGAAGACGGAGGGGCAGAACTATTGTTCCATTATTTAAGAGGAGGCCATTATAACCTGCCAATTATAATCTAGCAAAATGCAGGACAATGTAGCACTTTAAAGACTAACAAGATGGTTTATTAGATGATGAGCTTTCGTGGGCCAGACCCACTTCCTCAGATCAAATAGTGGAAGAAAGTAGTCACAACCATATATACCAAAGGGTACAATTAAAAAGGATACTTTCGAAAGTAAATAAAACAAATCATATGTGTTCATTTTTTTAATTGTATCCTTTGGTATATATGGTTGTGACTACTTTCTTCCACTATTTGATCTGAGGAAGTGGGTCTGGCCCACGAAAGCTCATCATCTAATAAACCATCTTGTTAGTCTTTAAAGTGCTACATTGTCCTGCATTTTGCTTCAACTACCCCAGACTAACACGGCTACATCTCTATCACTAATCCTAATGTGAGGACATTGCTTTTTTTTGTGTTTATTTTTACTGAATATTGTGCCCCACAAAGAAACTCTGCTTGCATGGTATGTACATAACATTAGTCTCAAAGCATATCCCTCTGAGACAAGTGTTTGTAAAGACACCAAACTTCTGTTGCCCCAAGGCAGGGGTCCTCAACGTGGTGCCCATGGGTGCCATGGCGCCCACCAAGGCATTTATGTGCGCCTGCCTAGCGCCGCCCCCGCCCCCGGTACACGCATGGCCCCTGCCCTGGGCGTGTGGTGCATGCGCGGCCCCACCCCCAGGTGGCCCAGCAGCCCTATGCGGCACCCGCCACCCAAAAAGGTTGGGGACCACTGCCCTAAGACAAGGCTGGGCAAAGGGGCCTCCACAGGCCAGATCCTTCAACAGAGGCCATCCTGCTGTTCCCCCCCTCTCCAGGCCAATCGAAACCTGGGGACAGGGGAGTGTGCTAAGTCTCTCCTCCCACCCTCCCCCTGGCAAGGGCACACGGCACCTAGAGAGAAAACTCAGCTGTTTTAAAACAGCCAGTGGCTCTCTCTAGCTGCCGCGCAAACCTAGCAAGGTGGGGCAGAAGGCAAGAGACTTCACACGCTCCCCCTGCCCCCAGACCCTGACTAGCCTGAGGGCGGAGGGGGAGCATGCAAGGTCTCCTCCCATTACAGCACCTAGAGGGAACCTCCAGCTGTTTTAAAACAGCTGTTGATTCTCTCTTGGTGTGGAGAGGGAGGGGGCAGGGAGACTTCAAACATTCCCCCACCCCGAGGCAAATCAGGGTGGGGAGGGGTACGAGAAGTCTCCTGGCCCCACCCCTTCCGCCTGAGGCTCTGACCTTTCCGGAGCCGCCCGGGGCCACTTCAGAAATGTATGAAGTGTCCTCCTTTTTAAAAGTATTGCCCACCCCTGCCCTAAGGGAATCAAGCAAAACAGGCCTGCAGAACCAGGGCAGCACATGGCTCCATGGAGTAATTGCTGTACATGCCAGCTGCTTCCAGGAGTGTTGCAGGGCCAGGGCAGGAATAATCTTGCCTTAACTCCACTGCTCCATCACCCGGAAGCAGTTTCAGTTAAGTGGTGCCCAGCCACAGCCTGCTTCTTGAACCCCTGTCCCAGCCCTGAACCCACCTCCTGCCCCAAACATGAGTTCCCCTGCACCCAAAACCCTTCCCAGAGCTTGCATCCTGAAACCCCTCCTGTATTCCAACCCCCTGGCCTAAGCACAGGGCCCTTCCCACACGCCAAACCCCTTGGACCAAGACTAGAGTCGGCAACCCAACCCAACCCCCCACCCCAGCCTGGTGAAAGTGAGTGAGGATGGGGGAGGAAGGGGGATGGAGTGAGCAGGTGAGGCCTCAGGGAAGGGTTGGAGCAGGGGCAGGGCCTCAAAGAGGGGGCGGGAAGGAAGTGGGGCAAGGGTATTTGAGTTTGGGGTAGATCTTACATTGCACTTAAACTGAAAAAGTGATCTTATTGTTACAAAGGTCGGAGATCACTGCTCTAGTGGAATAACTATAGCTATAGGTTTGTCAATATAGCTACATGAATAAACTATTCCAGAGTAACAGTG